AACCCGTGGTGGTACTGGGAGAACAGATTAGGCGACAGCAGCTCTGCAAAGAAGCTGGAAAATGAAGTCAACTAGAAAGTTAATGAGTCAACAATGCAAAGCAGTTTTAACAAAGACAATTAATATTGACCTGGATTAACAAGATCCTTCTGTATGTAACATGAGAGGTATATATATATTTATACATGTAATCCACTCTATTCTGTATTGATAAGACCTCATCAAGTGTTCAAACTTCATCCAGTTTTGTAATCACATTTTATTAAAGAAGTACGTAAATTGAAGTGAATCCAGAACAGAGAAGCAGGAAAAAAGTTTTGGAAAATAGGACTTTCTGGCAACAAATTTAAACAACTGAATTTGTTTCTATAAGGGAAGACTACGGGACTATTGATAACATAATAGCAGACTTCCAAAATGGCAAGAAGAGAGTAAACAGTTCTTTTACTTGTTCACTAGGTAAGGACAAAAAGTAATCTGTTCAGTTTTGCATGGAAAAATAAAAATTAAAGTATTGTATTAGGGAAACCTATTTCAACGCCAGCAAAAACTCTCTAGTTAAAGCAAAATTTTCTAGATTAAGCACAGAAATAAGCTGTGAGGGGGAGGACTATGAAATCTTTAAGAATATGTTAAATGCTGGTCCTCGATTTTGCCAAATCTTTCCCTGTTCCCCCAGACAGCAGTGTAGCAGCACATCACTTCAACATGTCATGTCCTTACGTAACAGGCTTCCTTCTGTAGTTCAAACTGCTTTATTAGAATTTGTGTAAACCACTTTAGAGTTAACTTTTAGGTTGTGTGTGTGCCTATTTAGGGAAAGTTTTGATTCTTTTTTACTTCCTTAATCCATCTGAGTCTTGTGTATTAAGGCATGTTGGAAACATTTCTTTTCACCGAGAAGTTTAAGTAATCAAAAATGAGGTTAAATCCGCAGGGGAGAGCTGGGTGCATTCCAGTAGTCCAAATTTTCCTTTTAGTTCTGATTAGGGATAGATATGTGCTTTAACTTCTTCTCAGAAGTATCACATGTACTTTTGGTAGTCTGAAGCTGCATTTCACTGCTGAATATCTGAGCTCAATATGGTATAAAATCTGAGAAGTTTTCTTTGGGAGCCTTCAGTGACATTTAGATGTATACACGCAGAATTACATTAGCAGCTCTTCTGTACGCTACCTTTCTGGGTTCGTGGACACAAAAACACATTTTGTGTAAATATGTAATTCAGTTTTAGTTTAGGTTCACAGATTAAGTAATAGTACAACTCTGTCTTCTGTATGCTACCTTTCTAGGTCTGTGGACGTAAAATTACGTTTTGTGTAAACATGTAATTCGGTTTTAGTACAGGTTCACAGATCAAGTAACAGTATAGCTATGTAATCAACTTTGTCATTTTGCATTTTCTAAAAACACCTTTATTTAACCTTCCCTTTTTCATTTTTGCTTTTGTGTAAGCTTCTACTGCATGCTATTTGTTTTAACCAGGAAAACACTATAGGTTCTTTCCCTCGCTTTGTTTTTTGAGTGATTTACGTAATGGTTATTTTGGCTGCAGGAATCTGGACGTCAGCATTAAGTTAACAAACACTTTAGGTTATTGACATTCAGACCTCCATCGATCACGCAATCATAAAAGTTGCTCAAGGATTTTCTCCCATTGAATTTGACTTCTGTTGTGCTCCTGTAATTTTCAACCTAGTCGCAAATAAGGACATTTACATTTTGTATTAAGGATAGTGTAAATCCCTTCGTATTACTTGCAAGAAATGGAAAAGAAAAAGCAATTAAAAACTGTTTCTAAAAAAAGTCTGAAATCCACAGTTGGGAACTACAGGGCTGCGGCCAAAATATGTAGCTTTCTAATGATTATGTAGGCATGAGAAATATCTTTGCTAATTAGATGGCTGCAATACTTTCCCTAATAAAACTAATTTTAAAACAAACCCCTCTGATAAAATTCTCCTCCCCTCACCTTTTTACTTACCATCTTCAGTTGTTTTATGAGACTTTTACATGCCAAAGTTGAAAATTAGTGAAGATCTGGAAGAAATTCCAGTTATATCCTAGGGATAAACACAATCACAGTGTGATAAAGAAAATATTTTCTCCCCTTCCCCCAGCCTCCCTCAGAGGTCCAAGTGGTAGAGGTTGGCCCATGGTAGAAGACAGCAGATGAAGAACACTGTGCACTTCCCTCTGCCTGAGGAGAGAAATGCTGTGCTTACAACGGGTGCATTGGACTGAGAGGCTGAAAAAAGTTGTTCTGGAAAAGCGCTATAAGAGGAAAATTGGAGAGGGAGCTTCCAAGGAGAATGAAACCTTCCCCCAGCCCACGCACACGTACCCCGTGCGTCCTTGCTGAAGACACCACAAACGTGCTGGCTGCAAGCACAGGGCTTGGCATCCAGATGGGTTAGTTACCGCAGGGCTGAAATGCCTCAAAGGAGAAGTCAAATGCTGAGTGAATTTCCCAGCTATTGGTAGCTGGGCTTGGCGCTGTGTTTGCCCTGCCAGAGGCAGTGGAAAGAGTAAGGTGTGAGAGCACAGAGCTGCTTTTGACTCAGCAACGTGGACAGCAGTGGAGTGCGCTGGGGAAGATCGCAGGGTGTTCAACATCTTTTCACTTAAAAAATAGAACTATGCCATAAGATACAGTGCAAAAAGATTGTTCAGTGGGAACTTGGCCTAAGACTAGTTGGCTCACTTCAGAAACACACAGAGATAGAAAGTTCTTTCTTCATTTCTGACAGCCTGCATCTCCCTCGATGAGGTGCATACAGCTGTCCTTTCAGTTCGTCTCTAGTCTGCTGATTGCTGCTGAACAAAAAATGCCTGCCATTGAGGCACTGCTCATCCCCATCCAGGCACGGCTGAGGAGCCTCTTGGGCTCAGAAGCTGCATAACATCTGAAGGAGCTGAGACAAGGTGGTGCCACTTTGACAGCTTTGTTAGTAAAATCCAACTAAATCCTTGTGATACAGTACTGCTCAAATGGTGCTAGATGCTTTCCAGGCACAAGAGAAAAAGCCTTGTCCAAATGAGTTGCCTTAAAAAAGCAAAATAGCATTTAGTGTGGAATGAAAAAAAAAGTTTAGAAACTCATGGCCAAAGCTGTAATTCTGAAAAGAGGCAATGCCTGGAGGAAGGCAAGACAGCTTGGCAGCAGGATGACTGGTAACTGCAGTTACCTGCAGGCAACTGCAGGTTTTCAGCTAGCCCCTAGTCTTTTTTTTTTTTTGGGGGGGGGGTGTTAAGTACTGTCCTAGCTGCAGTGCCACTTCTCTCCAAATTAAATATTCAGTGGATATAGGAACTGAGTGGATAACTTGAACTCAGAAGTGAAGGGGTTTAAGTGAGAAGAGCCAGGTCAGGAAAGACTTGTAATGAATGAGGCCTGAGAGTTTTGGCTTCCTAAAAAACAGCTGAAATGTTTCCAGCAGAAACTATGCAGATGTTTCCAAGTGACCCCTCTCAAGACCAGTTATGGATTATTACTTTGGGCTGTAGTCTATATACCCTAGCAATTGCACTAGAGCAGGCTCAAAGGTTATCCATTGTTTCTATTGAGATAGAGTCCAAAATTTCCAAACTGGATCTGGGCTGCATTCTGTAATTTGCAAAACTTGAATATGTGTATTTCTGAGTAACAGTGAACCTTTTCAGACCTCTTTAAAACTCAGGTCATTCTCAAGGTTTCCATCAACTGCTCCTTGCAGATGATGGGAGCCTTTTCACTGATTTCTGCCAGAGGCAGATCAGATACGAAAGTAAAAGAAGCAGTGTGAAAGATACACATGCTTTGCTGGGACACATAGCACTTTCCTATGTGTTGGGGAGCTGCGCCATGAGCCTGGATTTCAAAAGTGAAGGAAAAAAAAGCAAATAACCTTTTACTGAGTTTTCCTAAAAAGCATTTGTTTGTGACCTACGATAGCTTTTCCTTTAAACCACTGCTTCTGAGAATTACAAGGGAGGTTGTAGATCTCTTTTCCAGTAAATCAATTTGCCCAAAACTCTTGCACAAAAGGCTCAGAACAAATAGCACTGGTGCTGGAGAACATGCCGGAGGGGTCTAAAGGTTTGGCTCAAAAATTTGCATATTTAGCCAGCTACCGGGAAGCAAGTCTGCAGTCCCGTTCCCTGGAAAGGCCCATGAGAAGCTGCTGCCTTGTCCGTGCACAGAATCGGCAGTTTTGAGGGATTCATGAAATTTGGTGCATACCCCGGGCTCCAAGCCTATTTCCACTTAAAACGAGGGCAAAGCTCACACTGATATCAGGTGCTTATCCTGTATGCATATGCACAGTGAGAATTTGCACTGTTAGCAGATTACCAATATGAATGGGATATGTGACAAAAAGATTACAGAAAAGCAAGCCTTCACTTGACTTATGTTCCCATGGTGTGGGTTTGGCAGCTTCCCACTTTTCTTTAACAGCCCTTGCAACATTTAACTATTAAGTTCCTACTATATTAAGGTTGTAGCTAAGCAAGGGAATAAAAGATTTCTTCCTTTAAAGACAGGTGATTGCCGTCCCAGGCAGGATTTGCCTGCTGTAACACGGGTTTGTGTACTGCATACCAGAGCTTTGGTTTTGCTGTGGCTTATTTAAGGTCTCGATAATTCATATTGGAAGGAGCAGATCAGCCCTCAGTACACTTTTTTTCTTCTGCATGTCACTGTCAAATAAAATTAGTTGTAAACATACAGAGGATTTTTTTTGTTTTAACAGGCTCTGCAAAGTGACAAGATGCTGACTTCAGTGCTTATGCACTTAGGCTTCTGTATTCCTTTTTGATTATATAGTACAATGGGTAAGTTTTGCTACAGTCAGGCTCAAGTTAAAGCAGTTCTGACTGCATGCGCTTTAAAAATAAAAGAAAGAAAGGAAATTACTTAATTAGACAGCCTCATAAAATAAGATGATGAATTTTCCTCGATTATAGGAGGGACCAGTGTAATTGGAGGGGAAGAGAATTTTCTTGATTAAAACTTTAGTCTTTGGAAAATTCCAATTTATTAAAACTTAAACTTCTTGAGAAAATGAATTAATTCTGGCCAAATTAATTCCCAGCAAGAATCTTTGCCTGGGACCTGGGACACCCAGGTTCAAATCCTTGTTCCAAAGCAGGTGAAGTATGACATTGAGTCTCTTTCACCTCTACAATCTAGGCTTTTCTTCAGGAACAGAGATATTCCCTAGGTGTTCTGGTGAAAACTCAGAAAGATTTCATTTTCAGCCCAATGTGCAAAGAAGAGAAATATCCAGCTCTCCGATGTCTTTGACAAAAGGATGTTTTTGATTTCCTTACAAATTATTTGGATTTTAAAGTGAGACTCTACGGGCTTTTTCAACTAATTCAGCTAATTCTCCAGTAGCTGCTCTTCCAGTTCATATCTAAGTTCAAGGAACCATTAGGAATGTGTGGCTTGCTGCAGGTCCTTTTGGCTTTTCTCTCAGTCTGTACTGATACGTCAGTCAGAAAGAACAACATTTTCACAGCTCTCTTGACCTCTTCAGCCTGAGGAGTTCATTTGTAGACTGTAATATCCAGAGTATTGCTGAAATAGAACAACTGTAGCTTTAGCAGTGGCTAAAATAAGGTAGTGTGTAACAGTATGAAACGCTGGTGCTTCTTGCAACGTCGAGCCTGACACTTTAATGCGCGTCAGCTGCAGGATGAATACGATCCACACCAGAATTTTTTAATCATAATGTTGATCACTGAGCTCCAGAACACGCAATGGGAATGTGATTTCTATGCTGCTTCTTATATCTCATGTGTCCTCTTTCTTCATTCTTTTTAGCAAGAACATGATCTAGCAAAAACTTCATAATCTAAGAGTTACAGAGAGTTAATCTCCAACTGAACCCCTGTCAAGTTGGAAAGCCTAATCACTTCTTGCCTGGAACCACTTTTCTTCTTCTTGAATGGAAGTGCCAGTTTCCCACATGGGAGTGGAAGATAGGCAGCCTCTTTCCCTCCCACTGGTGATAGGAGTACTCTAGTCTGTAATTTCCTTTGAGTGCTGTTAAGTAAAATGATGGCATATCACTCTGGCTGACATAAATTGCAGCGTGCCTGGATCTGACGCAGTGGTTCAGGTCACTGGTGCAGCTAGCCCGCCAGGAGAGCTTTCAGGGGGTTCCTACTGACATCTGTGTTGGGATCTGGGTCTTTCAGCATATTGCTTGGAAAAGGCGACATGAACAGGAAGATGGGAGACTTTGTGCATGCTATAGAATTATTTAGCATAGTCAACACTTCAAAACACTCTGTGAGAGCTATGGAAAATTTTTATTAAATCCTATTACAGAACTAACTGTCCGATAAAATGACAGATTTAAATTTAGTGCAGAAAAATGCAAAGCCACTTAGCCTTTGAGGAAAAACAGTGCTAGCCGTACCAACTGCTGGCTCTTTATCAGCTTTTTGAGTTCAGGAAGCGCACATTGATATTGTTGTGAATAGCTTTCTTAAAGCATCGGTTCAGTGATCAGTAGCAGTATAAAGATAAATCTGGAGTTATTAGGAAAGGAACAACACTAAAATCATCAAGATTTAATGTACTGTTATGTCATTACACCAAAGCAGGCCCACTGGCATCTTAGAGCATATAGTTCTTGCCCTCTCATCACAGAAGAAATATAGTGCAGAGAGCGTCACAGATGATCAGTGGTACGACGTGGCTTCATTACAAGGCTCTTCAGCTTGGAAAAGCCTGAGAGGATCCACTGATTCATGAGCAGTAATGGAGAAAGTGAGTAGAAGGAGATGTATTCATTCTTTCTCATATGATTAGAGATAAGGGTGCCTACCTAAATTATTGGGTGGTAGATTAAGAAAAAACAGCAGGATGTTCCTTTTTAATCACAGTGTGTGATTAATGTTTAATGATTAATGCACAAGTCATTTCCATGGATGTTGTGGAGGCAAGAAAGATAAAAGGATTAAAAGGGCACTAGAAAAAACATGAAGGAAAAGTTAACTAGTAACTACTCAATACGATTGTCTGGGTATGACCTTTTGCTCAGTGAATACATGAAGCACTAGTTGGAAAATTGGAGAATATATCAAAAATAGACGAACTCTGTATTTGCTTCATTCAGTTAATCTTTTTGTAAGTATCTGCAGCTGGCCATAGTGAGAATTGTCTCAGAGGCTGTATGACTCCTGGATTTGGCCTCGTTTCTCTGTTCTTCTGCTGCACTGGCTCTAGCAAGTGATCGTTTTTAAGCATTTCTATTTTATTAACCCATAAGCTACCGTGCAAAATAAATGCAGATCTATGATCTCACTTTAATCAGTGACTGCTGGAAAAAGGAGGAATAGCTTCACTGGAAACACACAGATATAGAATCAGCATGAGATGCTGTGCAGTCTCTACATATCAACAAAAATGAAAATGAGAAGGCAGCACAGTGGACAAGAGACACGAGAAGGTTTCAAAAGTACATTAAATATTAATGTGCCTAAAGCTGACTCTCATTCCGTTATTTATATGACATTGTAAGAGAATGAGATTAAAACAACTTAATGTGCTGCTTCCTGGTTATCATCAGATTACAAAGGCTTATATTTTGCAGTTTTTTGGGGCTTCTTAGAAATAGGGCTGGCTTAGTTTCCTGTTCAGACTTCCTAAAGGATACAAGCAGTAAATGATGTAGCATAATGAAGGGGTTATCATCAGCACAACACTTTCTCTTCTGCTTTGGCTCTTCCTCGAACACAGCAATAATTTGCAGGAGTTACATTAGCTAGACAGGGTGCTGTCTGCATGCTTCAATATCTACACTGCACAAAAGTTTGGAGGAGGAACATTTTAACCTTTGTCATATACTGTTTATAAAAGAGGGCTTTGGACATAGGCTTTGGCCATGAACTTTGAAAGACCAGCTGCAGCTCTGCATTCCTCCCTAGAAGTTTGACCTGTAACACAAGAAAGAAACAATGAAGTGAAGATTTAGATCCTGTTAGCACACTATGTGTGCTTTACTCTTGATTTAATTTTTATGAGTGTTTCTAAATTGACAAGCTTTTCATGATGTACTCCAGCTGCTGATCAGGACCTAAACCAAAGCCCTTGGAAGGCAGCGGATCTTCTCCACATCGTAGACTTGGGATCAGATCTGCAAGCAGTGAATATAGATATCCATGTGAACTTGCTTTCTGCAGCTACTTCTAATTATCGCAGGCATTATAACAGGAATATACATCTAATTGGTCTACATGAATGTAGGTGACTTGTGAATGAGGAATGGCAGACTAAAGATAGTTTGTTATACTGGGGTATGAATAACTGATAATTATACAGACTGTGAGAATGATAGAAAATGAAAGCTCTGCTGAGGTAAAACTAACTGTCACTTCTAAGTAATGACAGCTGCTGACCTGTTCCTTTGTTGAGTTCATTACTCTGAATAGTCATAGGAAAACTATTATTTTTGTCCACCTGCACAGTAAAAACAGAACAAGAGGGGAGGCTGCTCTTCTCCCTAATTTCAAACAAACATCCTTTTGAGAGAAGCCCATGGTCTCTCATAGTCGTTGGACAGGCTGACCAACAAGTGTTGCAGAAACCATCTTACAGAAAAGATCTGACCTTAACTGCACCATTTTAAACTCCAAGTCATGCACTGCATAGTCCAGTGCTGTAGGTCTGCCCCCATTCACATAGCCCACATTCAGTCAGCTAAAAGTTACTCCCTATTTGTTTTGCTTTAAACATAAACACATGGCTATGCTTAAATAGTCATTATAGCATAACGTTGCAGCTATTTTATTACAATGCACAAAAGAATCCCATGACACTAACTATATGCATTCAATCTCACAAGCAATCAAAACTTTATAATCTGGTTCTCAGTGACCTTTAAGTCACTCTGCTGTAAGGGTAAAAATGTGAGCTACTTCATGTATCGTAGTAACTACAATCAATTTGCTTTGGATAAGTTCCTGAACTCTTAATTGACTAACCTTTTCAGGCTCTCTCTAGACTCATGCCTCTCTAGACAGAGGCATATGCTGTGTGGCTCCCTTTAATTCTGGGCTTCTGGGCAGCTATACTGTGAATCTGAATAAAGTGAACATACCTTTTTAGCCCTCAAACCGGGATTTCTTTTCCAAAGAAAACAATATATTGGGGTCCTACCAGGCACCTAGTACTGTCTCCCTGACATAGGGCTCTTGGTTGCTGAGACCTCATGACTAATGGTATGTTAGGTTATAGGTGTCTTTTCACAAAACCATGAAAAATGATTATGGGAGGCAGGGGAAAGACAAAAGTAGTTGGAAGCTAGGTTTAAAATCATATCATAAATTGTGGTCTTCTCCACCACACTTTGCTCAGGAAACTTGAAATGTTTGGGGCTGTAATGTGCTTTCAGTTACCATGTTGAACGAAAGGGTTTCGGTTTCAATAAACTATTATTTTCTGTGGCTTATGTGGTCCCATTACTATAATATCTTTACTGTATAAAAGTATACCTTACAAAACCTCTCTGCAGAAAGACACAGTGCCATCCCCATGGGAATCTGAAGCACAGAATGATGGGTAGTGTTTGAACTGTCTAGTGGGGTTTCCAATTCTATTTTCTATTCTGGTTTCTGGGTTAATCAAGACCCCTTTATCTCTTGAATCTCCAAAGATAACCTGTATAATCTGTCACTTATGTTGCTTTTTTGACCTAGTTGGTTAACCAAAGTTCAGCCTTCTGTGGGTTGTATCTCACTGGAGGAGAAATTGATGAAGAACTTAGATAACTTTGATGTAGTTCTGTTTGCTCATGTTCTGCAAATGAAGTCTTATTTCCTGACCACAGAGAGCCTCACGTAGGAAACAGTTTCTTTACTCAGAGTTCCAAATTCTGTGTCAGTGAGTTTTATAAGAGAGTTTTTAGAATTATTATTCAACTATGGATCAAAAAGTGGCTGTGTATTGGGTATTGCAAATTTAATTTCCTTATATGTTGTCTATCTGCTAAATAACATCCTGACAATTAGCTGCTGTTTGATGATCATTATGTTTGAAGAGCTTGCAGGAAAGCAGAGTTTTAGACTGGTCACTACTGTTTCCCACTGTTTTAAACCCAGTGGGCTCACAGAAAATAAAATCAAGACAAGAGAGCATCTTTCTCAAGCCTACAAAATCAGACTGCCCAACAACGCTGTATTAGAGAATAGCAACAAAAACATGGGTTCTCACTGAGTAGTATTTTGTTAAACAAAAAGCTGAAAATTAGAATGTCTGCAGAACTAGAAACTGCTCTCAGAGTCACCAGGAACTGGCTGGGGAACAGAGGAAAGGCAGAACAAATAGTCCTCCTTAATCCTGATTTGGCATCCTTAAAGCTGTAAACATTTCTTGAAAATGACACAGATGGTATCTATCGCCAGTTGGAACCAACGGCTACAGAAGGGCGTGCTGACCTGACTTGCTACCTTCTGTTTATATGGAGCTGTCACCTGGCAGGGACATATATTAAAAAAGGGACACTGAGACTGTCTGTTGGTCTGAGAAAGTCTCTAATAGCTGTCCGTAGACATGAAAAAACGCTAAGGCTAACCTTTCCAGCCAGACTGTGCGAGCCCCTTGTTACCTGCATAGATTTTGTGGTTGTTCCTTAGCAGCCTGAGCTCCATGAGCTATCCCCACGTATTTCACGCCTTGCTGCTTGTGCTGCAGTTTCTCCATGCTGTATGGAGTATGATCATACTGCTGAGAAGATGAGTATAGCGCAGGCTAGGTTCTCCCGCAGAGCTCTTCCAGGAGTCTCCCCCTCTCTCTCAGCTCCTTCTACTGAAGAAAGGATATAATATAGGACACAGAACCATGGGACTGCAGAAAGTAGTCTTCCTGTGTTCAGGCTCTGCAGAGAATAAGTAAAATATAAGAGCTACAGAAAGGGACAAGACTCAGTCTCAGAGCCTGCCACTCAGCTGGGTTTCCAAGCTGGGGGTGGACACCTGACAGGGCTCAGAGATGGTGTGACCACACTGACGTTCAGCACACATGGATTTGAGGGCAAGTGGTGTTAACATAACCTAGGACAGATGCTATGACGCTTTCACTAGTGTATATATCCTGTTGGAACTGGACACAGGATAAAAGACTCTTATGGTCTTTTAAGCACTGAGCACTCCCACCATGTGGGCTGTGAGTGTATTTTCATGTGCAGTTAATACTCTGCAGAACCAAGATTGTGAAATAGAATGGAAAAGCTCCAAGGATGAATAATCAGTGAACTTCAAGCACAAACTATCTAACGGGAAGCACCTAATTTGAACCTTAAACAAAGTATGGGGGAGGGAGAGAGTAAAATTATTTTTTTCAGCTGGAATAGAACTGGAATAGAATAGAAAGATGTGCTCAGGACGGGCTAAAGATGGAAAGAAGCTGAACATAGCATAGCAACAATTCTCCTTCTCCTGTGGGGGCTTCTGTGAGCAAAATATAGGTACTTGGATTACATGGGCATAGCAAGGCAGTAAGACCTTCTTTTTGCTGAATTGTGCCCCAGTATTTTCAGAAGGAAAACTCTGTGCCTTTGGATGAAGTTGGAAGAGGTCAGACGAAATACCAAATTTATTTAGCAAATGAAAGAAAATAAATGAGAAGGAGTATTGCAAAACGAGAAGTGAAGAGCCCTACTGGAATTCTCAGCTATTTCTAATAGGGCCGTGATTTGGGGTTTTGTCAGTTCTTCAATTTGTCTGGATTCACAGGCGTGGGGAGGAGATGGAGGCATTAGAGGTCTTGAAGTAACTGCACATTCTGTACTTTCATGTCTTGGAGTCACTGTTTTCTTCTGAAAGCCAGAAGACTTCCTGCCTGCCTATGATCTTTCAGAGCTTCTCTCCCTTGTGTGTAGTCAAGTGGAGCCTAGTCATCATGTTCAGTTATTTTTAATCTTTAGCAAGGAAACTTCTAAGTAAGTCTGGAACACCAGAAAATGCAATAAATACGTCACTTTAAAAAAAAAAATACTTAAAATGACCTGCTTCTGTAATAGATCTTTTCTCTGTCTTTATTGCCTAGATAGGCTGTATTTAGATATATAGTTCAATATATGAACTATATATAAAAAACCTATATTATTGATACAGTTTATATATTGTAAGCTTTTGTGAAAAATACATATAATAAAGAGTTTTTTGCTGCAATGTTCAAATCAGCTGATGGGCTGAAACTTAGGGTCTTTGAAAGACGCTGAAATAGTTTTGTTCTCAGGAAAATCACATTTCTGGCTCAGCCTGTCAAGACTTGCACTGAACTGCTGCTCCTCAGCTCAAGGGAGTTTGACTGTGGCATTCAGTACCTGAGTTTTCACTGTGGCTGAAGGCTGAGGCCTCTTAGAAATGTCTTGGATTAAAAGAAGCCCCTGGCTTTGTTCTGACATAGGCATTTTGAACTCAGCCTAGTTCGGGTGTTGTAGAAATATTGTATACTTTTGCAGGGGATACCTGGAGATGGCTGAATCCTTTCCAAAAGGACCTTTCTATGCAAAAAAGGTTTCAAACCACCCCTTTACCCTTATTTTATTACAGGCGGATGGAGACTATTCACTCCGTGTTCTGGCAGGCTCAAGGACTGGTTACACTTGAAATTTCCTCTTGGGAATACCAGCAAGTTGACCTTAAACCTTCCTGCATGAAAATCCTAGCATATTCCTCTCTGAATTTCAGATTCAGAGATTCAGATATTTTTAGATGTATATTCAATAGTATTGCCCACAGTGCACTGCTGGAACTGCAGTTAGATTTCAAGTACTGTGTGTTGCATAAATCCCACTTAAAAGCATGATCTGCAGGGCAGTATTCATTCAAGGATTTATAAAAATGCTTTGCTCTACACATCCGCCAAGGGGACCAGATAGTGAAGAAACAGCTTATTATGTTGAATGTCTTCAAATTGTTACACTCGACAAAAAAAGTAATGAGCTAATGTAATTAGCTAATTAGTAATTAGTCTGTCCTGCATATATAATAGTTCATATTACAATTTTCATGTTATATTTTATAATTACTTCATTTATATTGTAATTTCCAATTATCTGCAATAGTGAAAGTTTCTTTTCAAAACGTAGAAGCAAATAAAAAAGAAAAATTTAAAATCCTATCTATAGCTAGGTACAAGAATGTAGTTAAAAGCCAATGTTGTTTCATCAGATGAAGCAGTGCTATCACTTAGGCAGTATAGATCCATGGCTCACATAATTAATATACAGGGTTTCTCGACTACCAGTTAAGTCTTTTAACCAGCGATGTAAAAACTTTTATTATTTCTGGCATTGCTTCCCGAACATCCCTCTTTTAAGATGATTCAAAATTCTACAGTTTTCATGTATCTTGCTGATGTCAAACAGCAAGTCGAATCAGTCCAGTGATTCATTTCAGACAGCTGTTTCAGGATCTAACTGGGAAAATCATGGTCAGTCAAGATACCCTATCTTGAATGCTTCCGTTAAGGATTTGGACTTGGTATTTCTGCTATACGTGCATGCCAAATTAATGTTCTGATAGGGCAGAGGCAGCTCTGTATACGGCATCTCATTCAAACCTACTGACATTTCAGAGACTAGTGTACTGTCCGGTTGCAGAAGCAGACAAGGCATCATAGATTTCTTCTGCCTCTTCAGGAAAAGGATTTGTTGGTTTGGTTTGGTTTGCTTTGCTTTGGTCCGGTTTGGTTTTGCTACTTTCATGAGGAAGAAATCTGAGACTGAGAAAGACATTATGTCACATACAGAGCAAAAGTATCTGTTGTATTGTTTGGAACTGAACTGATCATGCTTTTTTTCTTAATTACCCCTAATAAAGGACCTCTGAACAGGAATAACAAGTCTTGCTCGTGTTCCGTCTGTGCTTGTTTAAGATGTATAAAGCTGTTATTTTACCATTGGTAAACAGTAAGACAGAAGTTCTATCATTTCATGACATTTTCATAACAAACCAAATGACTCCCTTCCCATTCCATTTTAAAGAGGCTACAGAGAGACCTGACCTCCGGCTCCTTACTAAGCCGCAAGAAACAGATGGGGGTTGTCATTTTGATTTATTTTGATTACTGAATTTTCTTATTTGATACTCTTTATGCTGGTACAACACAGAGAGTCATTGCTGTTCACAGCAATGAGGGTCAGGCCCTTGTTTCAGTTGCTACAGATTATCAGCTTCCAAAAATCCTTTTGACATGCATTAAGCAAACTTCAGAAGGAAAAACAGAAACATCTTAAAAATTAAGTACACATCTGTTGCTCTTTTTCATTCTCTTGTACATGGAGGAGTTTAAAGATAAAAGCCTTTGTTTGAAGGCCTATCTGACCGTGTTCAAAAATATGGGCTAGTGAATTAAACAAGTTTATGGCACAGACACAAGCACAAGCACTGTCCCATAACTGTTCCTTCCACCTGCTTGCCGCATGGCATGGTTTTGGCTTGCACTAGTAAGTGCTCCCATAGGAAACACCTGCGTATGGTATAGAGACTAGCCTGGGCCAGGGACATTGGCAAGCCAGAAGTAAAGCTAAGGCCACCGTTCTGAGGGCAGAAAGAGTTTAGCCATTTGGCCCCTTCCTTTTTTTGTGTTAATATAACTGGGGGTGCAGGTCTATACAGCAGTTTTTAATTTTGTTGTTAAAGCTATACGTTCATAAGGCAGAAAAGCTAAAGGGGCAGGGAGTGAACATGGCAAAAAGATAAGAAATGCAACTTTGAAGTTTGCAATATGATGCTCTTTAGGTTGGACAAAGCCGTAACTCCCTGCTAGAGAAGTAAAAAGGATTTTGCATCTAAAAATAATATGTGACCCCCACAACTGCACACCATTAATTACACTAGCATCAAACGAGAATAATGCCAAATGGAATTGGCATCGCTGTCGTGTAGAGCAAGTTGCTAGTTCATCCTACATATTCTTCATAAAAGATATGATGATGTTATTAGCCAGTCAAGGGTGTGGTGAACTTGACCAGTATTGGGCTGTCAAGGCACAGCAGAGATGCTTGCTGGGCTTCCTAGAGGGTGTCTACAATTTCCTGCTATGAGGTGCAAATGTTATCATCAGTTAATTGGGTTTTCCTTGAACTGCATCAGTTTCTCTCACAATGCTGAATTATGAGGAAGAGCAGCTGGATGGATGTGTGGAGGTAGCTGCATTAAGAAAGGGAGCCATGATTGGGAGCACACTCTGCTGCGACTGGGAGCTCAGGGTCAGTCACAGAATTCACAGTCGAGGTAAAGCTATAGAGCATAAGTGGACAAGAAACCCCTGGCCACTTTCCAAATTTTGAAGCTGTAGGAGGACTAACGGAATATCTTTAGAGGAAGTGAATGCTGTGAGAATTCAGGAAATTTTTAGGCACACTCGAAATTTTCTGGGCATCAAGAGAGTTGCTATGAAGTTGAAAGCTTTGTTCAAATCTAAAAATATGCACAAATTGAAAACAGAGAAAGACTGTTTGGCAGTATCTTTTCTTTTTCCCTGCTACACACGAACCAAGGAATTAAGACAGGAACATCCAATACATTATTTATTGTTATATTTTTTTTCAATTCCCTGGAAATGAAAACCATCTCAGGAAACTTCCAAACAATCTAATTTCTTCACAATTTGATACACTCATACAGTGAAAATGACAATTTCCCACTTGTAAGAGTTTTATAAGTGCTTTTAAATTATAAGTTATGCATAGCTTAATAAGTGCTAACATATGAAAGAGAGATGAAAAGGATTAGGTGAGGAAGGAAAAGGATGCATAAGAGATGGGATGATGACAGATACTTGAGGCACAGGTTTCAAGATTTAGCCAAAATTTGTTGAGTACTGCCAATGTCACTGCATGATTTAAGTAGTGCCTGTTATAGCCTGGACGGTATTACTTTCTGTTGAACAGCTGGATTTCATATTGTGCAAAAATGATCTCATTTAATTATTTAAAAATATTGTTTAATGTGGTTTGTTGTAATTCTGGAAAAAAAATTATAGATTAAAATGACCATCATAGTTTATGTTTTAATTACATAACTTTTATC